ATGTTCTATAAACTCCTAAAGCGACTGAACCGAAAATTCTTCGATAATTCGAAATTTCAAACTGGCCTAGCGGGGTGATCCTGTGAAGTTTGGTAGCGACCGGATCAAAATCAAATGATAGATCGGCCAACAAAGCGAACTGGGTTTGATATGTTTCTTTTTTTTTTATTGCTTAGGTGGGTGGACGAGGTCACATACCACCTGGTGTTAAGTGGTTACCGGAGCCCATGGACATCTACAACGTAAATGCGCCACCCACCTTGAGACATAAGTTCTAAGATCTCAGTATAGTTACAGCGGCTGCTCCACCCTTCAAACCGAAACGCATTACTGCTTCACGGCAGAAATAGACAGGGCGGTGGTACCTACCCGCGCGAACTCAAGAGGTCCTACCACTGGTAAATGATATAATAATATGTACATATGTACGTATTGATTCGTTACGGACCTGCCGCACTGGAGATCGATTGGAGAGGTCTATGGTCAGCAGTGGACAGTTATAGGCTGAGATGATGATGATCATTAGTGCCGTGAAGATCATTATTTAAAAAAAAAGTGGTTTAGATTTGTAGCATATGTATCAAACTGTAAGTAATGTAAAGTAATGTTATTACAAACTGTAAACATTTACGAAAGAAACACGAAAAAATATTGTCTGTTCCGGCAATGTGTAGAACAAGGAAGATCTTTGTTTTATTTAAAATTAGATTTGAAAATATTGGCAACGAATACTAGGCATTTACTGGAATTGAATGAGCTACATTGTTGATTCTTTTAAAATTAAATTATGCGTATCCGTTTATATCGAGCTCTTGCAACTTTCCAGTTACATATGCGGCGGAAGTAGCCAGTTCTTTAATTAATCGCCTATTTGGACCTTAGCTACATTACCACGGGATCCAAGACTAATTCCCGATCAAAGTCAATATTTTATTAAAAGCTTTGGTTTTTCCTCATCCTTGTCTTTGAATTCTGGAAGAGAAGAAAGAAGAACTGGAACTGTCTGTCATGTTTTCTCACCCAAACCACTGAACCGATTTGACGAAATTGTGTATGTAAATAGTTTGAGCCCGGGAAATATAGGCTACGTTCCATTCCACTGCAGAACACGAGTCTCCGCCCACACGATATACCTAAAGTTTAATCCCAGCGGACAAAGTTGCAGGCGGAAACCCAAAACTGTATATGTTTAATACAAAAATTAGATGAGTTGAAAAAACGAGTGACTCATTCGTTCAGACGAATTTCAATGAATATCAAACAAATACATTGAAATTGTAATGCTTATCAAAATAATAAGGGCTACGCTATGATAAGCTACTAATCAGTTATGTTGTGTGGGAGATTTAAGCTAGTGTTCTTTGAATTTACGTTTTCATGAATGTGTCAAAAAAATTGCGTATAACACTCGAATCATACGAGGAAAGTGAGGCGTATTTTTTAATATTTTACTACAAATTGCGTATATTTCAACTTCAACAATAGAGCGTAAACGTATTTCCCACAGTACCTGTCTTTTGTTTTAGGATAAAGTTTTAACATTCGAAACATTACTTTTGGTACGTAGCTGACCGTGATTCGGCTTAATAGTCCGAACATTAAAATATTACCTCGTACGTTTGGTTTGAAATACTCAGAAGTTTAATAGTATGTTTACGTTAGTATGAATCGTAATCTTCTATCTTCTACATATATAAAAATGAATTGCTGTTGGTTAGTCTCGCTAAAACTCGAGAACGGTTGGACCGATTTGGTTAATTTTGGTCTTGAATTATTTGTGGAAGTCCAGAGAAGGTTTAAAAGGTAGATAAATATAAAAATGCTCGGAATTAAATAAAAATAACAATTTTGTTTTTCCTTTGATGTGTCCCCCGTCGGACGATTCCTTTTGTTTTAAGTTTATTTAATGCAAATATATAATAATACATCGATTGAGGCACTACGAAGTCTGCCGGGTCAGCTAGTTCTTAATAGAATCGTATCCTATAGTACACCCAGGAAAAAAAAAAACTATGACGCCATTTAGTCAATAAAATTTTGTTTGCATGCATAATTTTTATAATTATAGATTGATTTTTTTTTCGTGTTCTGTATTCCCGAATCGTTTATGGTAGATGCGTTAAATTTTTGACAGCTATTGACCCTTCTGGAAAGGCTTTTAGCGCCATCAGCTTTTATTAAGTAGCGTGCAAATTAGCGTATCCCTAGGTCGTGCAAAGCGATGACACTAGTTCTCCAATATATATTTTTTTCACCGATTAAAAATACACAAAGACCTTTTTGGAATTACAAACACTTTTAAGGTAGAATTTAACGTTTCCCTCTAAATGTAATCTTTTTTATTCTTTTTATTGTTCCTGTAGGCAGACGAACGTACGGCCCACCTGATCGTAAGTGGTTACCGTCGCTCATGGACGTCAGCAATGCCAGGGGTACAGCCAAGCCGCGGCCTATAAATCTATCAATACTAAAGGTCTCACAGTAGTCGAAATACGACTATAATTAATTGGAATTGTAAGTTTGTACCCTATTATGATTGTATTTTATACTTCTATAATCACAAATTTCGCCAAGACTACTCTATAAAAAATATTAACAAAGACAAACAATATTTAATCTATTCTCAATTTGACAACAGACGTCAAGAACAAAAGTTTGACAATAAATAGTATGTATGCGTGTGTGCGTCAAATACATGGTATGTAGTGTGTGTAATATGTATGTATGTATTATTTTAAAAAAATATTAGCATTGTGCACTTCTTCTCTGTATTCTCTATAAGTGTGGAAAATTTCATACTCCTCCGTCCGCGCAATTTTCGTAAAAAGGGATACAAAGTTTTTGCTTCACGTATTAATATATATAGATTTCATGTTTGATTTTGTTCCTACGGTTTCCTGGAAAAGATCGCTATTAGCAATGAGGTCCGTTTAACTATGAAGTTAGAAAAAGGAATTTAATTTTTAAAATTTATTGTATAATACAAAAAAGTATATTTGCGGTTTGTTGTAACGTTTTTTAAGATCAGTTTTTATCCATCACTGTCATTATATAATATATTTAATAGTCTAAATATTTGCATTTGAAGTTTTAAGAAGAGGGTGATATCAAATCATACTGTGCAATACTCAGAGCGAAGTGACGCTGCGTTTGATTTGTATTCATAAAAAATGAATTCGTACTACATAGTAAGAGCCCGAATTGTTTATTCAGCGAGATGTTTTATACATTACGATAAAAAGTAAACATTTGTTTAACATTGAGCTAAATACACATCGTGAATTCCATTGAAATAAATCATTTCATTACAATTTATTCTATTGTTAATGAATTAACAATAAACAGATATATCTTTCGAACAAAAAAATTAGGTTCCTTATTTCAAGATAATTACATAGATTTTTTTATCTTAACAATATAATTTTGGTTTTGCAAGCTAATACACGCTGTATTTTATCGAGTCAAGGTATATATATAAATTGGGTCTTCGGTTGGAATGGCTTTCTGTCTGAACATGATAAGAAAAAAAACATCTGAAAAACCTAATATTCGTCGTTAAGATACTTATTGAGAGACTAAAAAAAAGGGACATAACTTTTTTATTTATTTATTTTATTTATTGCGTACATTAGGGTGCACGAACCTATCGTCTATCTGGTGTTAAGTTATTACTGGAGCCCATTGACATCAACAACATAAATTCCGCTACCCACTTTGAGTATAAGTTCTAATAGCGCATTACTGCTTCACGGCAGAAATAGGTAGGATGGTGATAACTACCCGAGTGGACTCTCAAGATGCCCTACCAGTACAAAACTAATAATTATTTCATGATTTCACTTCACTCCATATATTTTAAATTCTCATAAAAAAGAATATAACAGATTAGGCTGTATGGTATGATACCTTTGTTTTTCCAGTTGGAAAAATACATGGAACTACTGTAAGGTATTCCAAGCATCGAAAATAAATAAACACGAGTTTTAATCGTAAAAATGGGTCTAATTACGTTCTACGTCCCGCGAAACTCGAAGAAAATACTATAAAACTTTCTAGTTTCATCACACTTTACATAGGCTGAGAAAATCGATAAAGAACAACACTTGTTACACAGACCCGTGTATTGTATCGTGTGATTAGATATCATATATTTATAAATCATCGATAAATCAGGTTTATGTGAGGATTCACTGCGTTCTATTTTAAAAATATATATCATTTATTGGCGCGCAAAACTACGACTTAAGCCGTGTAGAGATATAGATATATTGAGCTTATCTGTACATTTTAGTATTAATACTGTTGTTTAGGTTTTTTTTTTTTTGTCAGGAGGAAATCGCCGGACTTCCGCCCTCCACAGGGGCGGCGGACGGAGCATGTCGGAGTCGAACCGACTAAAACCTCTTGTCGCTCAACAACCAACGTCCAAACCTCACATGAGACAGAACTCATGAACACCCTCCCCCTCGGGACGCGAATACGGAATACCCCGCTGGCTCAGAACCAGCGTGGGTCGAGGATAGCCGGCCTTCCATCACCCGGATGTGTCTAGGTTAGTATATCTGATTAACAAGGCAGTGTATATTCTTTAACCCATTAAAATCCCAATCGTATATTGTATTGATATCACAAATAATTTATTCATATGCTGATAGGAATGCTTTAATTGAAGTTTCGTTGAGAAAACGCGGTGTATTAAGGTCGGTGTAAAACAGAGTTAAAAAAATATTAGGAAGGTTTACATATAACATTTTTCTCAATTTCGTAATAATTTCTCTTTTATGAAACATGATTTTGACACAGTGTACCTGCGAATAGGCGAGTTATAACAACAAATTTTATTTAAAATCAAAATAGTCGAACAGGGATACATACAACCGATGCAATCGTTCGATTTCGCTTGAAGTCTCAATTACTTTGAAGGTTGTATTTACTGTTTTAGTTAAATCAAACAGACAATGTTTGTGACTCAAAGGTGATGATAATATAAATGTCCTTACCTCCCGCATTAAAATTTTTTGGTTGCGGTGTGACAGCAGCTGCGCCGGAAGACCGTCGTGACCTTAAAACATATTATTACATTAGAAAAATAAAAAATAAACGGACATTCAAGTAGGATTCTTAATATAAATTTCTGCGGAATAATGCAGATATATTGTAGTCTCTGTTGTACTATGGTCGCTCTTGAGCCGGAAGCGCAATTACCTCGCGGCAGAAATAGGCAATTGATACTAACCAGTATGGGCTTACAAAATGCGTTACTATTAGTGTTCAATTTAAGAACATAGGGAGACTTAGAGGACGCTTGGAAGGTTGAGGAATCGGCTATTACGTATTTGGAAATAAGTTTAGTAGCTGTATTTTTTTAATATTAACCGCATCGGTTTTTTTATGATTGAAGGATTACTTGTGGTCCTGAGGCCTGATCCGGTGGTAGATTCGGCATTGCTCTTTTTAGGGCATTTGTTAGCAAGCTTTCCCAGGCCCTGGGGGCATGCCCATCACGGTTTAATCAGAATTACTTCTCGAAGCTGACAAATAATTAGGCAAAAAAAGCTAATGGCACGTTTTTTGCTTCAAAAGGTGGGGCAGTCATGATTTTTCAGTGCTTTTCAAGGCAGATGAGCATCCGTCCCACTTGATGCTAAGTAGTCATCGACGCTCATGGACGCCAGCCAAGCTGCTACCCACCACTGTCTCAATGTGGTTAACGACATTTACTTTGTGATGTCTATGGAATCCAGTTACCAGTTAGCAACATGTGAGCCGCGAAGTTCATCTATAATAATAAAATACTTGAATCAACTAGTTGACCTTCCATATATTCGTATAAAAATCATTTTACATGAAACAAAAGTGGGTTTGTCAACGATAATATAGTTTAAATTACAACACTCGATACTCATAATAGGAACAAATCTGGCCCAGTATATACAAGAAATAAACGTTTTTTTTTAATTACCTGACTAAGCAATGATTGTTGCTAAAAATTTGTTCTGAATCTATTCAAATTAACAATCGCATGATAAGAAATACAAACATAAAAAAAGATATTTGTATATTCACTTTTTATTCAGGAGCAAAATGCTAACAATGGCACATACATATATTTCAGCTTGTAATATAATAATCAAATTCAATTTCAGACATTTGGAGTCGCGCTTATCAAATCAGCCAGGACGCTTGACGTGGATTCAAAGAAAATCCTCTTTAGATTTTAAGCTCGACCGTACATTATAATATTGGAAAGCATTCCATATTTCACAAGAAAATCTGAGGAGCATAATAACCTGTTACATACTTTGCGAAAAAGCTTTTTAGTGTAACAAGATTAAGTTCTGTTTACTCTTTTCATGTATACTTTCCAAGCTTTTGACGGAAAATGAGTGGGCACGGGTCGAAAGATCTATGTATTTATTTTAGTTGCTTTCTTTAAATGTTTAATGATAAGGTGTATTTCTCGGAAAATGCCAATTGAAGACTTTCAAATTTTTTTATGGGAACGTTATTTTGGAAAGAGTTTATTCATTAAAGTAACGTTGTAATAAAAAAAACATAACGAAGACAAGAACGCCTAAAGCCGGCTACGGTCGCCCGTAGGGCAATATTTTATCACCGCATTTATAATGTGACCATATGGCGGCTGTAAAACTAATTTTACAGCCTGAAGACTATTATTAGAATTAATGTTTATTAGGCCAAAGTCATCTGTGGACCGTGAGTTATTATTAGGTTTGCAATTTCATTATGTCGACACGTGGTAGTTAATAATTCTGAGGTCGTATCGAAGCATAAAGATGACAGATGTTCTTCATGGTCTATTGTTATCGTAAGATTCAAATGCCGATCGTTTTTTTTTGCTTTCAACGTTTATTTCGAACAGAATTTACAAAAAGGCAATATATTAACATTTAAACGTTTGACATTCGACGACATATATATGAGTACCAGAAATTAAAATTACTTACCAAACAAAAACAACATCACTAAGGCTTCGAATACGATAAATAAATGTCTTTAATTAAGCGACGAAGGGCTCGAAGCACTGCTCTTGCTAGGGCCAGTGCTAGCAACACTCAGGGCTTGAGCCCCGTGAGCTCACCTACACGTCAAGGAGAAGCTGAAATAGACTCACAAGGCTATCAGCATAGGCAGGAAGAAAAAAAAATACTTAACAAAGAAATCAACTCTGTCCGGGAACCGTTACTGAATTCTACGGTAATTTCCTAGCTAGATAATTAGTGAGTAGACATATCGAACAATATTCAATTATCCTTAAACTTTTGGGAATGGGTCTAATTGGTGACACCGAGGTATTTGTGTTTTCAATAATATTGGCTTTAGAACGAACATATGCTTTGTTAAAGGTTCCTATAGACTAGAAAAATATCTTCAGTTTTTCATTGTTTACAAAATGTTTAGTACATTCATTGTGTTTATCAATTGCGGCAAATGTAACCGATTAAGGTCTTTTAATAGCCAGTTTGTGAGTTTTCAGTGCGATGTCTGGGGTGAGTGCGATGAGTAGCGACTCAAATCTGCTGCGTTTCAAGAAAATGGCTGATAGCTCTTTCAAATTCGTCAGGATGGATGGACGAGCATGGAATCGGCTGGGAGAGTGGGATTTGCTATGAAATATCCGAGCGACTTGAAGGAATACGATCGGCTTAAAAGGCAGGGTGGTTTGTTTAATTCTACAAAATTCCTCGAACTCTATGAAATAATATGAGTGAACTATCATAATTGATTATACAATAGCATAGTTCAACGCGACATACTTTTTACTACCCTAAAAGCAAAGTGCGTAAAGCTTATCGTATCTGTAATACAATTACAATAAAGTAGTTTGGAGGGACACCATTCGATCTTTCATTGGTACGGGTCAATGTAACCTCACATACTACGTTAAGTTGAAAAGCAAAAAATCGTGTTGGAGTCAATGTTTGTGTTTTCTGTTTATATTTTACTAGCAACCCGCCCTCGCTTCGCTTCGGAAACATTAAAACACAAATGAAACCAAAAATAAAAAATAAAAAATAAAATAAAAAAAGTAGCCTATGTTCATCAGGGACAATGTCGGTTTCTAATGGAAAAAGAATTTTTCAAATCGGTCCAGTAGTTTCGGAGCCTATTCGAAACAAACAAACAAATCTTTCCTCTTTATAATATTAGTAAGTATAGATCTGTATAATTTTCGATATATTTAAACTACTAGGTAGCTCACGTAAGTAAATATATTTCGTTCTATAATAATAGGGAAAGCAAGATAAGCTAAAATATTAAAAAATCTGACATTGTAAAAACCACAATCAAGCTTAAAAAGGTTTGCTTTTAACAAGGCTAATGTAATGTTAAGCCCGAATGTCCCTCGTGGCTTTAACAATGCTAATGTTTTGGTAACGAGCTGTCAACGTTGTCAATACTCAAAAATTTTTCCTTTCAGGAAAATAGTATAAATTTCAATTTGCCAGAATAGTGATGTCAAGTACCTAATCTTATCGTTATTTTTTTATTATAATAGTAAACATAAAAATGATTGCACCCGATATCTACTGACAAGTGATGAATGATTTATCAAGCCGGTCCATTCAAATTTTTATGGTGGCCATTAAAGTTTTCTTGTCTATTGATTTATTTCATGAGTCAAGGTAAATTTGTCAGAATATATAGTTGTTTAGTAGCAATATTTTATCGTAACTGTTTTTAAAGACAGATAGGTTGACCAATATACGTAATAGTCAATTTAAATGATTTTATACGTATATTGATGTATTTTAATAGCGCATAATAAATACACGAGATGAATACAGAAAAGTTTATATAATTGGTATTTTATTCAACATGTATAACTTACATTTTATAAGAATATTAATAGACAGGTTTAATTTATTGTATTTTTTTAAATATATTTTAAGCACATTATATGTTATGATACAGTATTTTTATCGTATAGTTTTTTTTTCTATTAGGCAGATATATGAATTATACATGAAGTATATAAAATTGAGGTGGAATTTAAGTAAGAGTACACGGCGACGATAGTGCTATTACAGAATGGACAGTAAATAATCCCTTTGCATGAAGAACTTGACCGAAGGCCGATGACCAACGGGTAGACTGTATAAAAGTAGATATATTGCACCACATACTCTGTGAGTGCGGTGCCCGAGAAGATATCGATAGATAAGATATCGATTGAAGCGCTTGTAGTGCTTAGGGGATGACATAACATATCCTCAAAGAATGATTTTTTAGTCAAATACCTGCTTAGTCTGACTAGTATGTACAAGAAGTAACGGAAACATCAGAAGGCCGGTCTCTTAATGCGGGACCGACTATTATCTTATGATCTATCGTGACTATAAGATAAGCTGTGAAGTTTATTCATAAGCACACATAAAATCAATTTTCGTATGTATATTTGTCCATTGTAATGAAACTTAGAACAATAGTCCTTGACGCTCTAGGAAAGGTTTCGTCATAGTACCATCACCGTCCGATAGACGGCGCGAGAAGAATCAGCATATCGGTGCTCTTCATTTAATTAGCAGTAGTCGTAACGTGGGCAGATAGCCAACGAGGTGGACCGATAACCTGATCAAAGGGGTCGGTAGGGACTGGATGCGAAAGGCAAGCGACCGAAGAGAATGGGGTGCACTCGAAGAGACCTACACTCAGCATTAAGTGGACACAGGTTGAAGAAGAGAAAGAGAGTCACAGTGGAGCATTACTGGATTTCACTAATGTATAATATAGCGACTTTTTACGATTGTAATAATATCAAGTGCATGCTAGTTTGCTAGCGTCGGTATGGACTAGAGAAAAATAAAAACAAATTGGTAAATCATCAATCATAGTACAACAACGTGTTTATTATATTATTTCACGTGTGTTATACGGCTACCCGCTCAATTTTTTGAGGCTTACTGAACTTGAGACATCAAAGGCTCAAGTGCTCGCCTGTTTGGGACGCAAGCGCGATACTTGTTCCTTTCAAGATGTCGACAACTTAAGATTTTCCCTTTGTTCGCCTCACAATATTTGCAGGTTTTACATGCTGTTAAAGAAATTATAATAAATCTGCTGGCTTAAGTTTTAGAAAGTATTTAATAGCACGGTTATATACCTAATACATTTACATGGTGCACGAATAATATCCTGTGTGCTTAGTGCGAGTTATTTAACGTTCTCGATAGCGTAAAAGTTAGCTCATATTTGTAAGAAATGGGATCGTTTGCCTACGTTTCCCGTTAGGGGCGCTGTTCCAACTGCATACAAAATTGGGTTAACTTTTACGCTATCGAGAACGTTAAAAAACTCGCACTAAGCACACCGTACCTAATAATAGGTAAGTACTAGTAGTATAAAGTATTATCAGTTCGCAAGAATAGGTACCATCATTATATCATCTCTTCTTTAGAAAAATCTTTATACAATACAATTGTTGAACTTCGATCTCTGTCACGTCTTTGTGTACCGTAAACAAAAACCAAATCTCAAGTGAGGCGTAAGGTTGCGTTCTTATCTAAAGCAATCAGATACGCAATCGATCTTACTGTGGTTGCTCACGACTAGTCGTTTGTTAGACAGAATCATTAATTTTCATTTCGTCTATAGGCGATTTTCGTATTTAAATACAAGAGTAACTAAAAAGTCTGTTTGAAGGTAACGATATCAAACTATGTGGCTATGTACATATTATGTGTTCATTGTTGTTTTATCTTTCATAAAGTGTGTTCATCATTATTCTTTAAATTAATCAACCACGTTGTCACTATGGAATGCCTTAGATTCTGAGAAATTAAAATCACACGACATTCTCGGAGATAATGTTTTTGTTCTAAACGGAATAAACCGCAATGACAATGCCCGTGTTGCTTTCACCGCTTGGTGATTAATACACGACAGAGGAAGTTTCGATAGAATTGAAAATTAGCACGCGCTTAACGTCCAATCAAGATAACCCAAATGAGGTGTGGGCGTTGGGATTATTCGATATAAGAAACATTTCAATGTCTTGTTTCGATATCGAGTACTTTTAGAATTGGATTATTCTTTCGATACTTATTCGAATAACAAAGCAACAAAGCAAGCCTCAGATATTAAAGTAATGAGTAACTGTCTTTGTTAATGACACTGCCCTATTCCTGTCTGCGAAACGTAACATTACATGATTTCATGTTTAAAGTTAATTAATACCATTCCAATTGGAGATAATTCTAAAAACACCAATTTAGTAAATTCTAAATTAAATTAAAATTCAATTTACTTAGCAGAAGTATCGACTTATGTAGTAGCTATCGATACTTTTGATGGGAATACTTCATATAGGTGTAGGTATATGTCATGACCATTCTCAACTCAACAAAGTAAGAATAGATATTTTGATGATATCAGAACATTTTCGTGAGTGATATTTGCAGCCGCCAGCAGTCAATATGTTTATTAGTGAATATCACATGTTTTTTGTAAAAGGGTGGGTGGTTCCGGGCCGTTAGCCCGAGCGCATGATTCAATGATCGCGTGCTCGTTACAATTTTGTCATCGGCCACGAAAATAATGCGACGCTGTACTACGTCATAAACTACGTCGCGGTCACGCGGAGTCGTTAATATGTGGACGTGACTTGAGTCTGCTCAACTACAGACTGCATTGTTTATCGATTTTATATTAGCAACGAAATGATGACCTGCAGTACGTCTGATTTTTTTAAATAGATATTAGTTTTACTCTATTTATAATTTGTTAGTTCTAAAGATAGAACTTTTGAGTAGGTACCACATTGAATTCACTAGTATGATTTTTCTTATTACTTTATCCATAGGTAATATAATAACATACTTAACATTGTAGCATTGAATATGGTTATATGAATAGCCCACTTCAAGCCATACATGCTTGCGGAATTTTTACTTTACGTTCACCTTATCTTTTGTAATTTAGTGTTTTTTTCCTGGAAAACGGAAAACGTGTACAGCTGGAGCTTTCCCATCATATCGAACATATCTATCAACGCGTCGAAAGCTTTTAATCGTACATACTCCGATAACTTTATTTATCAGTTAATTTATAGCTAGAGTACTAATATTAATAATTTCGCTGAATGAAAATGCTGGTAGTATACTAATATTTATTTCTATGTGTTAGAGTTATATATTTTTATATACATACAAAAATGTGTAAATACATTTTTTAAATAATCATGTTTTATGAAAGATACAAATGGCTTAGTGGGCTTTAGGGAAGGTACATTAGTAGATACATTGGACAAAAATACATGAAAATTATATTTTCAATGTGATGAAAAAGTAGGAAAAGTCAAGGAAAAGTCACCTAAAAGGAAATGTTAACCAAACAATAATAACATATTCATGTACAAATTATGTAACTTAACAACAACGTGAGCAAACTCAGATACCGCATCCATTTTATTGATCGCAGCTGAACGTTGACCTTGGTATTGCGCATGCGCATAATATTGTAAACTATGACGAAAGCATTGACTGCGTAAGAGATACGGATATCGTGAACTGTTAGTTGATAAATGACACATTGTATTGGATGACATTTCAAGAATGCCACACATCTGCATTCTTGAGTAATAATTTTAAGGTATAATTTAATTGCCATTTCATTGATATTTACGAGGTAAGTATTGATGGTTGTTTTAATTTTAAAAGGTTAATTTGAAATTGCGGTAGTTGATAATTAACGACAATTTGTTGTCACGGCACAATCGTAAAATAACGGCTGCGTCTGACGGAAAAGAATATTCAACATTCATGACTTAACAAAACGTAAAATTACTTATTTTTTAGTATATTGTTTATAACAATAATAACTGATTAAAGTTGGCCATTGCTAGTGCTCTTGAACAACGTATAGGTAGCCAGCCACTTCTTAGAGGTTATCATTGATGAGCATTCGTGAATACGCATTACAGAAACTGAAAACATATTGATATGATCGACCTTATCACTCAATCGTAAACTATCAATAGCGTACTTGCAATATTTCGACGAGCGTATAATTTCAACATTCCACATCTTACGCATTTTTCGTTTGACTGCGGACGTGTTGCGTACCTATATCGAGTTTCGAGTTTCGAGAATTTTAACTAGCAGAAACAGAAAATCACTAATATTAAGTCGATTATGCCTTAAGTTTTACAATTAATATTTTTTTCCTAGCACTAAGCACTAATATGCTAAGAGAAGTAGGATTCTAATATATGCACTAAGAAAAAAAAAATACAAAAAAGAAAACCACCCACACAATAAAATGTAGTCGAAATCAATTAAATATATTAAGGATACATCAAAAACTAGTACTGGTCAGATAGAATCAAAAGAAACATCATTCAAATACAAAAAAAATCATCACAATCGGTACCTATAATTAGAAGTGCTAAGCTAACATACAAATAAAAAAAATGTCCAATTGATAACCTTTTCCTTTTTCGGTTTCGGAAGTCGGTTATCAAAAACTATGAGAAGCCAGGAGTGAATAGATGAACTTAGCTAAATGAAGTATACGTACATTGCTAAAGTGATAATCCTAAACTAAAGTGATAATTTTGACTTTGTTGTTAATAGTTCAGTTTTTTTTTCTTTTGTCTATCTATCAGCCAGTAGCCTCCAGAGGCTATTCTGGCTAAGCCTTGGCCGGTGGGTGAGCTCACGCGGCTCAACCTAAAAGGCTTTGCTAACATCTGCCTTAGCAGCAGAGCCTAAGAGCAGTGCTTCGCTGAATCTACCAACGGATCGAAATCGCGACCCACTGAGAAGATCCGGCGTGAAATTCACTGGATTAACATAGTCAAGTAGTGTCAGCAGGCTCTGTTAAAAGACACAGGGCTGTTTTTTTTCTATTAACTCTATAAATTGAGGACCAGTCGGAGACAGCGTCAAATTATGACCGCCATATAAAAAAAAAAATGTTTGTGTACCTTTTTTACAACCATTTTATTCTTTTATTTCCATTTTAACACGTTGACTGCCGTGTAGATCACCGGTGCCCTACGCGGCGCCCTGAAGTAATTATGTCGATTTCTGTTTACTAAGCACCTAAATTGCCTAACTTTGCCTTCTTTTGTTTCTAGTGTATGTTTTAGTATTTTAAGTCTCTGAGAAACAGATTCATTCTCACAATATTCTGATTCGACTTTCCTAGACAGAGTCTAATAGGTATTCCTGTGCTCTGTAATATAATTGAGGAGAAAAATCGACATAATTACTTCAGTGCGCGACGTAGGGCACTGGTGACCTACACAGCAGTCAACATGTTAATCGAAATAAAAAAAACAAGATACTTGATTACTAAGATACTTGTTTTTAGATTTGATTAAAAATCAAATATTTTAAACGAGGCTCATATTTGTTATAAAATTATAACAGACTTACTTGGAAGCTGGCACGTTGGTGAGACACAAAAAGTTGTTGCGGACGCTACGCAGGCTCGCCAGGACTTGCGCGAAGGGTGTCACAATCAGGTCTTCTCCGTGACTGTAAATAAAGAACCAAGTTATTGCTTGCTATCGCGAGGTTCAAATATTAATTACATTAGACTAGAGCTAAGCGTTAATCACTACATAGTATAAAACAAAGTCGCTTTCTCTGCCCCTATATTCCTATGTATGCTTAAATCTTTAAAACTACGCAACGGATTTTGATGCGGTTTTTTTTAATAGATAGAGTGATTGAAGAGAAAGGTTTATATGTATATTATCATCCATTAAATGGTGGAGAAATCAATAATAAATTACAGTTTCCGAAGCGAAGCGAAGGCGGGTCGCTAGTGACAAAATAAAAGTGAATATTGTTTTTAATGTTCCAAATCTATTAGCGAAACCCTTCTTTGAATAGATTGAGATTTCTTAGAATCGTATCAAATTGCTAATGGACACTAATCTAACTTCTTAATGCTTCAAGTAAATAAACACCAGGTATTTTAAAGCAAATTAATAGAGGTCGTACAGGTTGTTTTTGATTGGTAAAGTTAATTTAATACGATCACTCCTACTGCGTCTAGACAATTAGATTTTGAAATTCATCAAAAACCACCCACGCTTTCAAATGCGCTTTAGACTGTTGAGGGGTTTTTGACATCGCAGTTCGAAAATTCAACTTGACAGTAAAATTTTAAATAGAAAATGCCTTTGAATAACCCAAAACAATAGACGAATAATTAAAAAAATAATTACTTTTAACATGTTAATGTCGTAGTGCCTACAAATTCACACACATTACTAATAAATAAACTAAATTATAAGTGTAAGTGGCAGGTAAAAAGAAAGCGTTTACAAAACATAATTCAGACAAATGCTTACAATGAACCATTCTGTTAATAGGCAAACATAGAAACTTTGATTATAATTTTAGTATTAATTATTGGAAAGCGAGGAGAATAATATAACTTAATTTTTTTTTGTAACATATATTTATGAATTATAATAAGTTACTGAAGATCCTGCTATATATTCATTCAATGCATTGATAAAAAATCAAATAGATGATCTATTGTCGATAAGTAGTTATAGAATAAAACAACAACATGATTTTTTCCACACATCTATCACTAATATTGAAACCCTGCCTATTTCTGCCGTGAAGCAGTAATGCGTTTCGGTTTGAAGGGTGGGGCAGCCGTTGTAAGATACTGAGACCTTAGAACTTATATCTCAAGGTGGGTGGCGGCATTTACGTTGTAGATGTCTATGGGCTCCGCTAACCACTTAACACCAGGTGGGCTGTGAGCTGGTCCACCCATCTAAGCAATAAAAAAAATATCATGTAGATAGTTACTAATTAGTACCCAAGGAATGGAAATATAAATAAGGGAAGTCTTTGCCAAACACGTTAAATAATGTGCTAACATTTTTAATTGTATCTTACTTCGGAATCTAGATAGAGAGAAACCTGGTTTATTATGAAGAATTTTGTAAATATCAATATAAATCTAACAGTCTCATGAACTTTCAGAAACAAAAAGCTGACGTCTTCAGGAAATTTACGCATTACAAGTAATAAAACATTCACGCGTGATTCTTCTGTGCAAATTGGTCGAATTTCCATGAACGATACTGGCGTAATCTTAAAGTTTTAAGCAGTACTAGTAACTCAACTTTAAATGACCAGTTCGTTTGATAAGTTTATATTGTGTTAAACCTCTAGAGGTACGACCCTATTAATGTTTCACGTTTGTTTGTTATTCAGTGACGCGTGATAGGACAAACAAATGTAATGTCATTGTTTTGAACTTTTCTCGATACACTAGTCGTCTTTTGTTCAATCAACTCTGATTCGATTCGGAGTTACAGTTTAGCTTTTTGTAGAGATTCGCTTCATAATATTTTTCAGATAAGAAACGATGTTTATTTCTTCAATCGTCTTATTCAGGCAATTAGGTATCACTTTCACGAAAAACTGAGGCCATGTCGCGTTCCTAGTTTCCTGCATACTCTTGGATGGCATACCTCCGAATCTCCCGAGACACGACTGCACTAGTATTCTGACATTTGAAGTTGAAACATTTTTATACAATCTGGTTTTTGTTTTCACTAATAAAACGCTTCTTTATACCGTTTCGCGAATTGTACCTTTTATTGTTTTTATATTTTGGTTGTGAGATTTTAGGAACGAAGTTCCTTATAGGACGATGCGGAGGGATACCCTAACCGGGAAAAAACGTTCGTAACGTAAATTTTTTGGAACGAAGTTCCTTACGGCAGGCTTGGAGGGGATAGGGATTTTGCTGCGCGACCGAACTGAAAAAAATGTGATAGTAAAACCGTAAGAAAAAATCCGTGGAAAAAAGTGCGTGGAATAAAACCGTTAAATGAGACGTGCGCAGGCGCGACAGTCGCATACACAAGCGAGTAGTGTATAATACCTTTCTCTTACTCCCTCTTTCTTTTCGTTCTCTCATCCATTCTCTTTCTATTTTGTAACTATTTTTATTTCTATTTTTCTATTTCTATGTAATTTTATGTTGTCAAACAAAAATAAAGAGACATATTTTGTTATTTTAGTTGATAATTTGAATTACGATGTTTTTTTATTTTAAGTAATTTATTATTTCCTAAAATACTGAATTTCCTAAATACTTTCTTGTACTTAAATAAAAACTAATCAGCAAAATTTAAGAGAAAAATCAAGAAAACCTACATAAAATTGAGCACGATTTTTTTTGCAATTTGTGTCGATTCTACATTAGCCGAAGGAACTTCGTTCCTACCTGGTGTCCCACGACACCACATATTTTATTATTATTTATGTATAGTCTTAGTAAGATGGCTATACAGTGGCTACGTGATGACGGTTATTATTATTATTCATATAAATAGCTGTTTCTTTGTGTATTATTATTATATATTTTTTTATAAATCATGGTGAATAAAATAAAGCGGATAAATTTGTAAAGTAGTTTTTATTTATTTTTATCAATAAAAAAATCATAATAAAAAATGTATACCCGAATAATTATTTTCTTTACACCTCGAATAGAACTTAAAATTAATATTTTTATAATAAGGAACTTCATTCCTAACCGGTGTCCCACGACACCACACATCTTTTTATTTTGCGGCACGCTCCACAGAATTAAATGTGTTTTCTTTATAAAAAAGAAAAACAAATTAAACATCGCGATCGCTTTATACAATCAAATGATTCTAAGCACAGAACCGTGTCCCGTTTAGTCAACTTCCTACTTCAGTATTCCAGTTAAGGGATTTTTATGTAAATGAAATTTGTTTCAGTCCTTTGTTCGGTATATTTTAATTTTCTCATGCATTAATGCGATGGACAATAATTTCAGTAAATATTCCATTAGTATAACTTATATCTTTGTACATAAATTGCAATCGTGAATGTGTTCGTAAATCGTTCAACATTGATTTATTATTTAAAAATATACATTCTGTAGATTAAAATTGAAAAATGAAGTGCGCAAAATGATATTTTGTGTACCGTAAAAGATAATAATGGTTGTATTGTGGTAATATTCAAATTTTACTGCAAGCACTACCTTTCTTGTGGGATATATTCAATATTTATTCATGAGAGTTAAATATGTATGAGGAGATGCCTCTCGAGAATATTAGGACGTTGACTAGACTTGTATTGTTTTTACTCAACTGTTCTGTAATACGATATAGAAATTTTAGGGTGACTAATTCAACGCCTGTTTATTTATTTCCTATGGAAATTTATATAAATATTAATAAATTCGAACCAGACTATTTTTTTTAAATACAAATATTTCAACGTTTAACATCTTTTAAATGAACAACTGCAGAATTTCAATAATACCTTATGCTCTTTATTCCTTTTAATACAACTTAATAAAAATGAACTAGATGGCGTTGCAAGTAATATTAACTATATTTTGTCAACGGACGATAATAAACTAGGCAAGTTTTAATAATACAGATGGCGTTAACCATAGGTTTCTACAATTTTACTGCACTATCCGTGAACCATTTTGCAGCCATTGGTACTTGTTTGAATATATTTTTTGGAACGAAGTTCCTTACGACAGGCTTGGAGGAGATAGGGATTTTGCTGCGCGACCGAACTGAAAAACATGTGATAGTAAAAACCGTAAGAAAAAGTCCGTGGAATAAGGCCTTGTTTTCCGCATAGCGATATTTCACCGCGCGATTTTTTTCTCGTAATTCTTTTATTTTATTTTATTTGGAACTTCGTTCCTATCCGGTGTCCCACGACACCACGCATCTTTTTTTTATCGAAATTTTGTAAGGTGAAATTGTAGTTACTGGTAAAACCGTCCATTAAGATACATTTGACCATCCAATATATAGTGGTTGCCGGAGTTTATAGACAACGTCAATGCTGTCACAGATCTCATTGTCATTAGAAGTTATCGTTAGATGAATGTTCGTTAGCGGGGCAAATAAACATATTTTTTTTGAAATCATTGCCATTTCAAAGCCAAATCACGTCATCGGTTCGATAGCGAACGTATTCTTTTTGGCGGCCGGATAACGGATGGATGAGGTGTTGCTAGATTTATCTTAATTGCGGGTCACCCATTAATTCTCGATACGATCAGCATACGGTCATCTATAAAGAATCAATAATTTTGACTTTTCATAAACAACATTTCAATTATGTTTTTTTCCGATGCGACTATTTATAAGATAGTCTTTAAATAATCGATTAATATCCCTTAAAGTACCTACACAAGAATTCGTATAAACCGATTAACGGTAAAAGTAAATTAGACATTATACTTTTAGTGTTCTTAAAATTGCATATCAGACTGTTATGTACTTTTCTAAATTAGAAAATGTTATATCGAGGGAAACGTTGGTATACTAAGGTCGGTTGTTTAGTGGCTTACGTAGTGTTTACCCACGCAGAGCACACTCAGTCACATAAACAAGTAAATTGTATTATTCGGGTAAACACTTACTTGACCTACTTCTGTCCCCCTTTTGTTTGTATTCTTTTGAAGATTTCGCGAATAAGTTTCGCAACGG